GATTGTTTCTCATCTCTCTCTTTTTTGTGGTCATTTAAAGTCTTTGTGGCTTTTGTTGTGTCTCTGTGGTCTTGTTCCACATTGGTTGAATTGTCTGTTTACAAGTGGTTTTGGTCGTTCTGTCAAATGTCTCATTGTCTCTTCAGTCTTGTGGGTTTTTTGGTCGTTTTACTCAAAGGTCACAGGGTCGTGTGTCTGTGTGGCTGCTTGGTTTCAGTCCCAGCTCTAATCTGAGGTGTAAAGTAAATTCTTTTGCCTACATTTTTGTTATACAGTGTGGAAATTGGGGAAAGTGTGCGTGGTGAAGATGTGTACATCATTCAGAGCGGCTGTGGGGAAATTAACGACAACCTAATGGAACTGCTAATCATGATAAACGCCTGCAAGATCGCCTCGTCATCCCGCGTCACTGCCGTCATCCCCTGCTTCCCTTACGCCCGACAGGACAAGAAGGACAAGGTAACCGCCTCACCACCCTAACACCAGAAAGTGTTCAGAACCAAAAGAGTACAAACGTCACCTCTGGTTGTTCCTGCGAGCTACATATATATTTATATGACTTTAATCCTGTAAATTTATCCACAGGCTGCAGTGCAGCTGTGAGCTCACACAAACAGAAATGGTCCTGTGGGCGCCGGCTCGAGTGGAGGCTGCTGAGTAAACACACAATGAGTCAAAATCTGTCTTTGTAGGAGACGTTAAAATGCAGATTTCAAAACCTCAAGAACGAGACCCAACAGGTCCCCGGAGAACGTTTGTTTCCCTCTGGCAGGTTGACACATTAACTTAATCGCAGTGACGTTTTAATAAGAAATCCCTCAAGGTCAGCAGCGGCGTTGGTCTGCAGTCACACTGACGTGTCAGAAACCGGCTCGAGCTGCTGATCTTGTAAATCATTATCTCGTGTTGCCACAGTTGTTTGTGTGATCAGTGTGGAAAATCACGTCTGTGCGAAGCAGCGAGACGGACGCCGCGTTCAACTGATTAGCACCTGCAGAGGTTCTGATCCAGCGCATTAGTGTCCTGTCCTCTGACTCCTTCCTGTTTCCCACCTTCACTCTGCCTGCGTGTGCACCAAGCTCCACTTAATAAAGTGTCATCGTAGCATGTGAGGGTCAAAGCTCTGTGGACACTTTCTTACCTCATCCTTGTTTACACCAGATAAAGATTCGACTTTAAAAACGTGCCGATTTCAGGCTTCCTGCCAGATTCTGTTCGTTTGGAAATCAAACTTAACCCGGTTCATGTTTCACAACACAAACAGCAAAGCTGTCGCTGGGATTTATAGTACATATATTGTCCAACATAGTGCATGTGTCGGTGGCTGTCAGGTTGCCCTTCTTAAAGAAGGAAAACAGGAGAAAAGGCTGATGTGTGTCAGATTACACAAGAACTGGACTGAAAATCAGTGGCAGCAGTGATGGGGGGGGGATCAGTCCACATACTACTTACAGATATGACAAGACAGCCTTGAGTTCAGGCTGTGCTGAAATATGAAGGTAAATATTGACTTTCAAGCTCATTAGAATTGTACAAACTGTTTTTGTCCTATATGTTGTTTTTCTGTTCTGTTTGCACGAGCGTCAACAAATCTGCACCAAACTATAAAGACATGAGGTGTGACTTTTGCACTACAGGATATAATAACCATATTTACAATTTGATCAAGGCTGAAAAAGCCG